AAATTAATAAATAAAAACATACAGAAGCATATGCAAAGAGAAAAAAAAGCTCCCTCCCCATGCAGTTTATTATCCATGACACATTTAGGGGAAGAGAGGCCTCGGACTGCAGCAACCAGGAAAGCTTTGCGCAACCCCCCTCTCCCATTGCTTGCACCCCTTTCTCAGCCACCTTGGTGACGGTGGTTGTGCTTGATGCCCACCTTGCCACCCCTCAGAAGAAACCATGGCATTGCTTCATCCTGCAGCAGCCCCCCTTCCTGGCTCCCCTCCAGGAGGGCTCTTTGCAGGAGGGACATCACGGCTGCCAGCTCCGAGCTGGTTTGGCAGCAACCCTGGCAGGCAGCACTTACCTCTCGCTGGCTCTGCCCTGCACGCGTGCAGACCTTGCGCAGAGGCTGAGTGTCTTCAGTGAGCAGGGGCCACCACCGAGAAGCACGTGCTCGCCTTCAAAAGCAACCAGGGGAAGCTGGAAGATGAGAACGTCAGGGGCAGGCGGGATTTGAGACCTAGAAATTGCTTGGCTCGGTTTGCTCTGTATAAGGGTGGAGAATATCCCAGGGAGCACTCAGTACATGCCTTTCCCTGCAGTTGGAAGTCAGTCACAGTGTGCATTGGCAGGGTTGTTTTTGTTGGGTTTTTTGGTCCTTTTTTATTAGTGCTCTTCATGCTGCTAAATGCACTCCCAGCTAGGTCAGGGCTGTGTTAGCTAGGGCTGGCAGATAATTTCAGCCTAATATACTTCACAGCTCTGTAAGTGAGAGTGCAGAAATCCTCACATTGCTGCCGAAGTGGATTAAGTGGTAGGATGGAGGCCCAACATTGTAAATTATAAAACATAACTGCATAGTGCTGTTGTCCATATCCCTTCCTTATGACTGAACTAGGTCCCCATCCTGCCACAACACATATTTAACCTGGACTGGTAAAGTCAACACACCCGGACACTTGTGTAAGGTTACACAAGTGATTTCGCCTTAGCTGGAGAAGAGGCAGGCAAACATAGAGCTTGCTGCAGGAACTGTGAGGTGTAATAGATCAGAGCCCAGCCTTCACGGTCTGCCCCAAGCAAGGAAACTACAGACAGATGGCAATAGGCTCAAAAATACCTCTAATTAAGGAGATACCAGAGATGTCCTTGCTAAGCAAAGTAGTCTACACACCCAGGGGACCAAGCATGAAAATCCTATATAAAAAATCATCCTAGTATGTTCAAGAAAGGAATTCATATTTAAAGTTGAACCTGAAACCTCAGACAATTTCATAAAAACTTTAAGATGCTATAGGCCCAAAAGTAGCACACCCATTTCTGACAGTCTTTGAGGTGCCCTGAACTATGTGAGAACAGGCTGAGGCTGTAAGGAAGGAAATTAAAAAACCAAAACAATCTTCCCCCAAAAGCTCACTTTGGGCATATAATACCTATGCTAGAGGGAAAGCAGGTTCATGCAGCAAGGTGCTTGCACTGCTCCCTTGTTCTGGGGCTTTCCATCTTGCAAGTACTGTAGACCATCAGCTGAGACCAAAAGCAATGCCGAGGTATTCAGGGTTGCCATGGATTGGTGGGTACCGACTGCAGCTGTGGGGGAAATAGCCCCACCATCCCCCCAGCCCCAAAAGGGGCAGGTTAGGCTGCCTGGGGAGGCTGCGAGCTTGACAGTGACTGCAGGCAGTGAGGCTGACCTTGCGGTCAGGCAACCTTGAACTTTCCCATGCTGGTTTATGCTGGGCAAGGATAAGAAACACAGCCCCATTCCCTCTGTCACCCCAGAAGCGCGAGGCTCTGCCCTGGCAGAGGCAGCCTCAGGTCTGCCAAGGGTGGGATGCTCCCCATGTGAGGGGATGGAGGATGCAGGTAATTTGGACTCAGAGAGAGGGGGTGTGAGGCCCTTCTGACGTGTTTGGTGTTGCAACCCTACCCTTATCTATGTATAAATAGAGTCCAGCAACTCTGCCCTCTTCTCTGAGCTCCCTTCACAGCTCCCTGATCTGTACTCATGCGTCCACGTATTTTTAAGGCCTCTTTTATTCCTGCAGGTTAGGCTGAGTGGAGCTCTACCCTGCCAGACCTCTTGGGGTATCCTCTTGGGGAGAAATTCCATGGAAATGGCTGTGTACACTTCCAGAGTACCCACGTTGGCCTGTTTCTGCTCACAACCTTGGTCCTTTCCCAGCAGAAACCAGAACAGCCCCAGTGAGGTCAGTCCAGTGCTGGACAGGCACCAGGAGAGTTGCATCAGTCTCTGAGGATCTCGCTGGACATCTGTTCAGTTGCCAACTGGAAAATATTCTTTTTTGATAGTTACAACCTTTCCCTGAGGACTTTTGAGTCTATCATGTGTGCAACAGCCACACCAGCTCATCCCTAATGCTCTTCTCATCTCTCGGGCTTAGCACCACAAATCCTTTTGAATTTGTGAATGGAGCAACACCTCCCCAGGATCTCACAGAACTCCTTCTGCCTAGCACCACTAGGTCAAGCAGATATTTTACGGCTCGTGGCTGCCCCTTCCCCATGTTAGTTTGGGGTTTGGCATAGTGACCAGCTGATATCCCCAGGCTGTGACGGAAGGAAGGTGAGTGTGCATCCCCACAGGGCTGTGCTCAGCCCCATCCTGGAGCTGTCCCTGCTCAGCAGCTAATGCACGACAGGTGTTGCCAAGCTATCCTGCAGCAGTGGACAAGCCAATCTTCACCTCCACCTCCCAAAACATCACCCAAAGGGCAACATCCCTTTGTTGTCACCACCAGACATGCATCCCACGTGCACCCTGAGGACACGCATGCCACTTACTGCTGCTAAACCCAACAGCTTGAACCATATGGACTAATACAATATAGCCAGTGCCTTGCAGCGTGGCAGGACATGACCTCCCCAGGTCACACGTGTGTGCATAGGCAGTTCAGGCATGATCTCTAAAATGCTTTCAAAAGTCTCTTGTGTCCCTCCTGGCTTGGTATAGCACCAGTTATGCTTCTTGCACAGGGCAGCACAATGATACACAAAGGAATGAGCTGACTTGCCCAGGGTTAGAGAGCGAGTCAGTGCCAATAGCCCAGGACTGTCACCCTGGGGTCCCCAGCACTAGCCCCACAACTGATGGGGAGTTGGCCATGTACTGATTGCGGCTGCGGAGTCTCAAGTCTGAAATGCAGAGCCGCGTTGCTGCCGAGGACAGCTTCACATTCCTGATTTGACAGCGCCACCTTGTGAGGTGTCACCGCTTCTGGGGACGCTGCGGGTGCGGCAGGGAGTCTGCACACCGCTATGTGCGTTTTGTCCTACCCACGCCGGGGACAGTCACAGGGACTGCAGGCACAGCGACAGAAGGGGACATGACGCTCAACATAATGCAACTGCGTTTTGTTAATAGCTAGAACAAGAAAGGTCAGGGCTGAAAGGTTGGCAGAAGCTATCCTGCAGCCAACCTCTTAGGCAAGCACAGAGATGTCCAGTACAGGAAAGGCCACACTCGCCACAGACCCATTCCCACCAACAGCACAGAACCACAGGCAAGCACACACACCTCTCTGCTACAAGGCACATCAGAGACCCCAGGCACAATGGTGCCCAAAACCTGACACCACAGCATGACAAACAGGGGGATCAGATACTCACCTGGGGAGCAGATTCCTCCTCGGGCCAGGGAAGCAGGTCACTGCTGCTGCGAGAGATGCTGTTCCTTCTTTCTTTCTCCTCTTCCCACTGGAAGGTGTTCAAGATTGGGTCTCAGCCCCATATCTGATGAAGCAAGACAGCTAATAAGAAATCTGCGGTTGCTCTGTCTGGGGCAGATATAGCAGGGTCTCGTGAAATTTCCATCACTACCTGAGCAGATGTCCTGACAGCAACCACATGCAGTGCTGAGGTACTACCAAGAACCTGATCTGAAGGCAAGAAGTGGAGATAGGGGAAGGATTTAATTTCAGGACTGCCCAAGTGTGTTTGCAGTGCTGGAGATTACAAAAGTGATATTTCCCTGAAGGACAACAAAGAGGGAGGTGCAGAGAGCCCTGTGGTCCTCAAGAGTCCTCTGAGAGTCCTTAGTAACCCCACTGAGAACTCGCTAGGTAAGCGTGGAATTCTAGAATGCATCCCTGGGACACAACATCATGATGGCCACTGGTGAGTTACCTTTGCTGAAGGCTTCAGCCCCTGTAAGTATGCCCCGAAGGGGACAGCAGGGAGAAGCAGTGTTAGTCTTCTAAAATGTGTGTTCTCCCTGTGACACATCTATGCCTTCATTTAAGTGGACATTTTCAAGGACATCCACACATCAGTAGGCTCATGCCAGCCCACCCCTCCTTTGCACCCAGATCTTTCAGACATGAATAAAACTTCACAGGATAGCAGGAGGTGTTGGGTGCTACTGACACGCTGCCTTGATGTACTGGGTGAGAGGGGTGGGTGTCTGCAGTGGTTGTCGCTTTACCCAGAGCCACAACCTGCTCCCAGCCTGATGGCGCCTGCTAATTTGGGGTGATTTGCTACAAAAACCTGAGCAAAAGGACTCAGGACACCAAGGCAGTGGGGGTGTAACAGCAGCGCCAGAGCACAGTTCCGCTCCATGATAGCAGAGTTATGGCTGGTGTCTGGGTAAGGTGGAGGAGAACAGTTTTGTTGCCTCCCACGTCAGCACCTCCTTTCTCCTCTCCTGCAGATGCTACTGTATTTGTGCCCATCCTCCATGAATCATGAACCTTTGCTGTTTAGGAAGCTGCTATTTGAACTTTCCAGCTCCTGTATGCAGCTGAACCTGGTGTTTTCCAAACCCTGTGTCACCTGCCCAGAGCACATGGGTGCACTGGGACTCAATTTTCAAGGACTGTCCCAGGTCCAAATCCTCCTGCCTGTGCATGGGACAAACCCATACTGTACATTCCCTAGAGCTGTCCCTCTCAAAACTCATCCCTGGGTTCATATTTATATCACAGTTGGCAACACAAAGCCCAGGTAACTTTCTCTTCTCCCACTTGTAGCAACCATAGCCTCCACGGACATGGGGCTTCTGCTGAGAGATGATGTTTTTGTCGACTTTTTCAACACATTTCTGAATCTTCCTGTAAGTCCACTCTGCACCATGAAGTCCTTTTGAGCTCTTCTCAGGTGAACTTCCAGCTTCTGTGGTGATAAAGGCCCCAGGAAACTTGGGAATATACCACATTCAGGCTGGAAAATGAGGGAAAGCTGAGCACCTCAGCTTGGAGATAGGTGTCTGAAAGGGAAGGCGATGCCCTTCCCTGTAGTGAGAACTAACTAGAAGAGCTGGGCTATGGGCTCCCATGCCACCCTCCATCTCTTTCAGCTCTCCCCTTTCCTTTTGATGCAGGTTTTTGGCCAGACACCCATTTATATCAGTAGTACAGGCCAGTGGAACCTCTGGCCAGAGCTGCCGAGCCACGTGGTGAGAAAATGCCCCTTTGTGAGGAGGGAAGAGGGAAGAAGGGCAGAGAGCAGGGGAGGGAAAAAGCCATCCTCTCATTACCTAGGCCACTTTCTGGCTTTCCTGTCCATGCAGTGGGGGGATTATTTCAGACCTGGGTGTCATTTTGCCTTTAAGCCTTGGGAGGAGTGCAAGCCATTTAAAATCCTGGTGCAGCTTATGGGGTCTGTCAAGCCCTCCATAAACACTGATAGCTGGAGCCGAGAGCATATGCGGTGGCAGAGGACAACACAAACATCATCCCTTTGTGCCCAGTACTCCTCCCGAATTCATCAGGAGTGAAGTCCTCTTGATCCTCAAGCTGGCTCAGCCCTCTCCACGAACGTCCCACTTCCCCACAGCCAGAAGTGCCATTTGCAGTGCTCAGATCACTTAGCAAAAGGGAACCTGCTCATCTTGGTGCTGCTGGAAAGCTGCCATGCCTTCCTGTCTAGGCTCTGGGAAAGCGGGCAGGCGGCACACAGCCCCAGGTCTCACAGTCTGCAGGCAGAGCTCACGGAGATGAGGGCAGGGACTATAGCTTGAGTATCCCCCTTCTTTCTCAGCATGGGGATGGCTTGCATCACTCACCATCTAGCAACAGAACACCTTCCCCTGCCTCCTGCCATAGCAGTGGCCGTTTACTTACCGTAATCCCCAGGCAAGAGATGGCTCCTTGCTCACAGCCTAATCCTGTCCTTGGGTGTGGGGATTGCAACACAGGATCCCAGCCCCCCGGCTTTACTGGCTTGGCTGGAAAAGCACCGGCTGCCTCACTTCTGCAAATCCAGCCTTTTCCTCCACCTCGTCCTCTGCCAGAAGCTCCTGGGTTTCATTCGATCAGAGGAAGCAGGTGAGTCATCACGGCATAGAGGAAATCGGATTGGCTTCACCACTGCTGGGCTTCCTCTCACTGAGGCTGTCACCGCCTGGTGCCTGCCCAGCGGGTTCTGCCTCTGCTCTGGGTTAAAAAGCTATTGCATGTCCCATCTTCAGGGATGCAACAGATCCCAGGGTTTCCACAGGATGAGCAGGGCTTTACCCTATAGCCCTGTTAGTACTGGCTCTCTGCCCCTGTGGAGTTGAGCTGAGCTAGCTGCCCAGCAGGGTTTACCATGCAGTTCATGGGTGGAGCAGGGCTGGAGAGCATCCTTGGGCATGGGAATCTGAGGTGCTGACGTTTCAAGTTTGCTGCTATAGGGATGCCAAGGGCTCTCATACTGTATTGCAATATGCTTCTTGTCTGATGCACCCTGTGCTGGGAAAACAGGCCTATGCCATGGTTTGTCTTACCAGTAGCAAGTCTGATTGTGCTGTTTACCCCTAAAATGGGCTATTTCAGCTCATCCAGCTGCTTTGTCAGCCTACATGTCAACACAAGGGAAGGCCACTGGAAAGCAAGCTATGGCAGCAGGTATGCAGATTTTCATTTAAAAAAAAACCCAAGCAGTTCATTGAAGTTTGCTCCTGTGTTGTTTCTGAGTGCATTGCTGCTGCTCCTCCAGTTGGGTAGAACATCAATCTGAAGAAAGTTGAGAGCAAGCCCCAGACTCAAGCAAAAAAGATGGATGTTTGCAAGAGGAAGAGGCACAATAGCTGGGCAGACTATCACCGACATAAGCAGATTGCCCTTGCAAACATCACACATGCACCCCATGACCTGTCTGAAACTCCCATTTCAGTGTGATTTTATGGTCTCCTGGCTCACAGCACTGCTGTCCTATGGCAGCCTCTGTCAGGGAGCCCCTCTAGGGTATGCCGGTGGGATCTGGAGGGCTTTCTTGGGGACTGCTCCTTTCTTTGCATGCAACCCCTGACTCCATGCTCTATGCTCTTTCTTACAGCTAAACTGCTGAACTGGCAAAGCGCTGACCGGTGGCTACTGGAAAAGTGCATCAGCGGTAGCCAGGGCATGTGGCACTTCCGGACCTTCATCCGAGGAATGGCAGGTGGGCACGGAATGGTCCACAGCCCCTTTTTACCCAGCCATTGGCAAGCTGCCCAGTGGGACACAGGCACAGAGCTGGGGCATGAGTAAGGACCAGTGGGACAGGGGACACTGCGAATCCAGATACAGCTGTTGAAGATGAGCCAGCAGCAGAACCCCAGCATGGGTTGTGGACACTAGGGAGAACTCTGGTGCTTCTCTGCAGTGTTCCCTTCTCTCATCCAGGCAATCTTTCATTCTTTCTTTTTTTTAAAAAAACACAAGCTGCTTCGCTCATCAGTGGAGCTTTCAGGGACTCCCTCCAAATCGTGTCCCTTATCTGATTTGTAGGGGAAGAACTGACTAACTTCTGGCTCACCACTGAAAGGCTCCTGGAGCTTGATGAGTCAGATGAAAGGCAGAGAGAACTCTACCTGTCCTTGCTCCACAGGCTGAAAGCCACTCACCTGCGTGAAGGCTCCAGTGTCATCACACTCTGCAGGACCATCACTGGTAAGAAGCATGGGACCTGGGAAAGAGCAGTGCCCTTCCAGAGAGGTGGCCTTTCCTGGATGCTACCATGGAGATGGGATACCATCACCAGTTTGCTTTGGCTGGGGAATGGTCTGCATGGAGCCATCTCCCCATCATAATCCCCTGCATCTATTTCAGGATCACTGCTGAAAGCCAGGCACATTCAGTCAATCAGCACCAGGAGGGAGATTCTAAGCAAGATGCAGGAACAGGTCCTTTTTATGATTCAGAGTTACTGGCTCCCTAAATTCTTCATCCACTGCAAGATGGGCATAAAGGAAGAGAAATTATGCTGGCCTTTGCTGCAGGAATATCAGGAGCGTTTATTATGGGCCAGCTCAGAGGAGCCCTCAGGCTTTTCAGAGAATCTCTTCATGATGCATATTAGAAAGAGTCAGGGTTTGTCAGGGCCCTACTGCAGCAAGAAGGCCAAAGTGGAGATCTGGGCTCTGATCCGGGAGGTGAGAGACATCCAAGAAATGAAGATGCCCAGTTTTCAGGTGCAACCAGAAAGGCAGCCAGGGCCAGCTGGGAGCACAAAGGAATCTTCTCTGGGTAAGGATGTTTTGGAATCAATTCCACAGCAGTCAGAGCATCCTGCAAACCCTGCCTTTGGAGGCAAAGGAGGAACAACCTCTCCCAAAAGACCTAGACCTAATGCGGAGCAGGTGCTTCACCTGAAAGACCTCTGTAAAGAGAAAGTCCTCTCTAACCTGTGTTCCTCTGCACCCATTGCCCAGCTGCCATCCCTGGAAAAGCCAATCAAGACCTTGGGGTTTCTTCCCTGGGCCCTTAGTGCTGAGACCTGTGCAGGATGGCCTTTTAGGGACTTCTTGAAGTGCCAGGACCGGCCCATGGAGACTCTTCTGCTGGACCTGTGGCATGACCTGGAGGAATTTCTGTCTGCGGTGCTGGACCCCAGCAGAGAAAATAGTTTCTTCCTGCGTCATTTGACTGGGGAGAAGATATGCAAGACCTACCTGGAGGAGGGCACCATTCAGCAGCTTCCCTTGGAGACCAGGACCCTCAGGAGACTGCGGAACCATCTGATGTCTGGAGAATTCTCCCCCTGGGTATTCAGAGCTCAGGAGGAGATTTGCAAGGTACAGAGCAGTGCTGGCAGTGGTTAGGCTGGGAGGTACAGCTGGCATTGACACCCCTGGGCTGGTGTGAAGGCTCTGGGCATTTATAAAAATAGAGGTATTTAAAAAAAAAAAAAAATTAGGAAGGTTAAAAACTTGCAGACACAAGTCACCTTGTACTAGAACCACTGAGCAAGATGCACCAGATCAGTGGAAAGGCACATCCTCATTGGTTTGCTGGGCAGTAGAGCAGAGACGAGCAAGTCATTTAGCAGCTGATGACCTCAGTTGTTAGATGCACACACCAAGGGCTAGGGGTATGGCAGGACAGTGGCCATCCTTTCACATCTAAGTTGCTGGTTCCAGCAGAACACAAGTAAAGCACAATTACAACCCAAGCCCTTCTGGGCAGCCTGTGAGCAGCTCCATTGACCAATCTGGACGTATAGCTCCTGGCTGAGCTGTCCTGGGCATCTAAGTGAGGTGTAACCTGCCCAAGGCATCACCACTGTGACTCAGTGTACAGTAGGAAGCTGCTGCTGTAGCACTGACTGGGGACAGCCCACCTTTGCTTCTCCACAGGTGCTCTACTGCTTCTATGAGGAATTTCTGGCTTATGACGACAGGATGTTCCTCCAGTTTATGGTAAGGGTGAGGCATAAGGGACATGGGCACCCTCATGGGGTGAGCAGGCACCAGTGGGGATATGAAAAGTGGGAGAAAGGGGGGGAGGAGAAACCCAGAATTAGCTGCAGTGGTCTAGCACCCCACAGCGCCCCTACCCAATGCTGTTGCAGTGTGATATAGGAAAACCTGACTTGCTCAGGCTGAGTAATCCTCAGCTTTCCCACCACAGCATCCTTTAAGTCAACAGCACTGCAGGCATACCCTGCAAAAGCTCCCCTGAGATGGACCATGACCTGGCCCAAAAGAAGGGAGAAACTTAAATACAGCCTTTCAGGGTAGGCAGGGGTGAGACCAGCAGCAGGCAATACGCTGGGGTGCTCACTTCTGGGAATTAACTCTTCCCCTTTTTTCCTTGCCCACAGCAAACACTGCTATTAATGTGACTCATGCAAACACACATACATATGCCCCTGTCCACGCACAAGCGCTTGGCCAACATGCTGGGGGAAGAGGTCATGCAGCCTTTTAGCCTATGATTCAACCACACTCAAGTTTTCCACATATTTTTTTCCACTGTGTAAAGGGATGATTTAAGATAGCAGAGTCACACAAGCACTCATCTTCCTGGACTATTACCCCTCCTGGCAGCAGAAATCCCCCTAATACCTCATGTTTATTAACAGCCTAAATACCAGCCTTATACCCCTAAACCTCCTTGCAGACAGAAACCCCCAACCATCCTACCTACCTGATTGGGTCCCCACACAACCCACGCAGGCAATTTTTCTCACTGCATACAGCATTCTTCAAACTAACTGTTAGACCTTTCACCAAACTGCAACACAAAATCAGCAGCTGACCCTGTAAATGGTAAGGAGAGGCTGTCAGGGCTAGTGCCCTAGAAGACCTGGCTTGCAGGGATGCTAGTGTCCCAGTCAGCAAGAGCTGAGCATTTTGGAAGCCACCTGGCAGCTCCTGACCCTGATTCATTAAATGCTCTTGGTTGTAAGTTAATCAGCTGCCCAGGTTTTTAAGCAGCTCTTGTGAAGGAAATCACTGCTCAGAGCACAGAGCTGGTCTGGGAGCGCAATTAGCGCTTCAGCAGGTGTCAAGTCCATGCTCTCTGCAGGCACTATCTCCTAAGCCAAACTCCTCATGGGTCTCACCACAGTGATGTCAGGGGAACTGCTCAGGGGTTTAGCAGGGTTTTTTTTGATGCTTGCTCTCAGTAGTATGTATCTTGGTCAGAAACCAGCCACTCTGACCTTGCTGCTTGGTGAGTCATTCAAACTGCAAACTAGTGGGGAAGGCCAAAACCTGCAGGAAGGTCTCAGTAGTGGGCAATGGAGACACTCACATGGCAGTGGCCAGAGCCAGCCCCAGGGACAGCAGGCAAACAAAAAGGCAGATGAGGTTACCTGTCTGCCCAGGGTTATTTTCAGCCCTCCTGCGTGGACACTGATCTCTTCAAGAAAGCTGCTGCCTTTACAGTCAAGCTGTTGTCTGGACTACTTGGGGGACCTACTGCATGTCACCGCTATGTACCAGCTGCAGGAAGACGTGAGCCAGCTTTAAGCAGGTGCACAGATAGGGTTAAGGTCTATGCTGAGCTTTAAACTCCTGTGAGTTTAAAGCTAGAGCAGAGATCTAACTTGGGTTGCTTTGTACTCTAAAGCACAGTAAACCATGCAGCTAGCCCATGAGCCACAGTGCAGGAGCAGCTCCTCAGGTGGGGTACGTCCTCTGTGCAATCAGCCTCTGCTCTTCTCCCTGTAGTCTCCTCAGAGCAATGTCCCGATGCCTGAGATGCAAGACCACGCTGTTGGGAAAGAAGAATGTTTCCTCCTGTCCCAGCGGATAAATGAATCCTTGAAGCTGAGCCAAGCCTTGGATGGCACAAGGAACTTGGAAGGTCTCTCCTCCAAGCACTGGCAATTACTTGGCACTCGGGACCTCCGGAATGGGGGCTCCATCCAGGCAGAGGTGGAAACTCTCCTGTGCAATACCAGTAAGAGGGGGCTCTAAATTTCTGCTGTGGCTCATGTTGACTCAGGCTGATAAAGCATACTTCGTGCACCCATGGTGACCAATGCCTGTAGCACACAGATGCATTACTGTATTGCTGACTGGGCATGGACATCATGGGGTGGGTTGGGAGAGAGTATATGGGAGCTGTCAGCTGTAATCCAAGCTTTGGCAGTGACCTATGGGCCAAATTCCTTCCTGCTGGTACCAGAGGTACCAAGTACTACATCCCTGCTCTGACCTGTGTCACTAGATCAAATGAAGGCTACAGCAAAGTGACTGAAACCCAAAGCCAGCGACAGCCATTGTCACCCCACCTCCAACATCTTTACCTTCTCCTGTGGCCATTCTGGTATGACACCTCAGCTTTGTCTTCTCAAATCATCTTTTGAGAATGACATCAAGTTCCTAGGCACCTATAAGTGCACTGAGAGTGATAGCAGTCACCTGTAGTAACCCTTAGTTAGCTTGTGGGGCCCCAGTCATACCTGAGAAATGCAGTGTCACAGATAGATCATGGAAACAAGACACATAAGGGGAAAGAAAAGGTGAGTAATGATCACAATACAGCACTCAAAACAAGTTCTGAAGGGCTGTTATAGCCAGAAGGAATGAATATGGGATCTTTCCCCTCTTCTCCACCTGATGCAGACTCCCAGAAGATGATGTCAAATGAGCTGGCTGTTCAGAAACTTTCACTGTCCGTGGATAGCCCAAGCAAGGAAAATGAACTTTTAAGTCTCAAAAGCCCATCAGTTGGTGACTCCAATCTGAGCAGGCTAGAAGCAGGGTGGGCTCCAACCATCATACCATTGCATGTGCTCCAGCGTACCATTAGGGGACTGGACAAGCAGGGGTCTTCCCTGCTTGTATCCCATCATCTAGTAGAACATCTGCAGAAGGAGAAGCCTAGCCACCCTTGAAAGGCATGTGTTTTGGGGTGTTAATCCAGCCAGAGAAAGTGGGAGGGCTTCTCTGAAGCAGATGCCAAGGAGGTCAAACCATACAAGGTGAAGAGCTCCCACAGCACCCAGTGTCTCCTGCACCACGTTCACCATGCAGACACCAGTATGGTGGCTCTGGGGTCCTTTGCCCTGTGGACAGTTGTGAACAGGCTCTGGCTGTCATTTGAGGAAGGGGACAACCCTGTTCTGTCCCCACAGCTGTTGAACACAAAAGCAAAAAGAAGAGGACTGTTCCTGTGAGAAAAAACAAATCAAACGTAATGAAGTCTGCTTCGGCTGCAGTAGGGAACCCATCTAGAAGATCCAGGTCTGGCACCTTGCAGCACAGGGCTTCACTGGTTTTTGCTACTTCCACTCTTTCAGGAAGCAGTTTTTCCCCAGTGCTTTCCCGTAGTGCCACTGCTTCCTTGCTACATTGTTGGGCCCTCCCAGATGTAGGCCAAGTGGCCTGTGGGTCTGAACTGTAAAGTTACCAAGGGAAGAAGAAAAATGTTTTAACATCCCTACCCCAACACCATAGCTCAGGTTTACTTCTCGCGTGTTATGCCTGCCTCATGCAATTCATCCTCAATCACACCCTGGCATGCCACCTGTACTACAGCTGGGCAGCTCTCAGATTCCCAGAAAAATCACTTAAAATCATCCTGTGACCACACTTAAATCTCCATACTTGCTGACCGCATGAATGTCTATATGGTTCATGTTTCACCTCCTGGGAATACTCCAGGCATGAGTCCTTGCAGTTCCACACTGGGATATAAACAGTATCCCGGACACAAGTCCTGAGTAGGAGTAGCTCTTATTGTTAATTGTGAAAGCCAGTCTCAGGAGCCATACTTAAACAAAGCAAATATTTGACCAAATCCACTGATCTTCAAGTAAGGGTTTGCTAACCTCATAAATGACCTGAAATCCCAGTCCACTCTGAGCTCTGGTTTTCCAAAGCTCTGCTGAATCTTTTCAATGTCACCATCCTCTGGCTTTGCATCTATCGATAATCTCCTGATGTACCAGTTGCAAGAGGCGAAGGTTTTCCACTTCAGAACACCCTTTTCATGACCAAATGCATGAAGCCCTCTGCCATTCAGAGGCAAATTATTTTTTTATTCTCAGTAAGACAGAGCAGAGCACAGGCTCCTCCTCCCACTAGTCCTTCCAGGTGCCATCTCCTTACCTGCTTCCCTCCCCTGGTGTCTGTGGGGCTGCTCAGTCCATTTGCAGATTCTGAGGTCTCCATCACAGTCCCAAAGTCCCACCTTTTCCTTGACTCCCTGAAGCCTTAGCCTCCTCTTCAGGCTGAGACCAGTTCCTTTGGATATATGACAGCAACGCTGTTGGATAGGTGCACCTATGGCAGAAAAGAATCAGATTGTCAGAAGAATTCCTCCCCTGGATTCCCAGTGGCTCAATGGATGATGTCCCTAAAAGTCTTTTCAAACCTAAACAATTCTACAGGTAAGACAGACAAGGGAGGCTGTGCTCCACTGGTACCTTTGCTGGCCCATCTGCTTTACAGATCCTACGCACTACTCATCCATGTTTCTAGCTCTTCTTCAGATGTGTCTTTCTGTTGGAAAAGCAAACCCAGAGGTCCTGGGTATTTTCCAGGTCACTGGTGGCACAGAGATCACATCTCTTGGTGTCTCCTCGTCTACTTCATGAAAGTACTGCACAATCTGACCACCTGCAGTTCTTCAAGCAGTTGCTTGAGGAGCACAATGCAGATAAGCCACTGAGTTTCTGGATGGCTGTGAAGAAGCTAGTCAGAAACCAACCCCGAGATGAAGAGCTTCCTCATTAACAGCATTGTCAGAAATTATTTTCATGCTGAAACCCCAGCTGGTAGGCACCCTCCCACCCCACACATTACTCCATTCATCATGAAAGCCTCCTCCCTGAGATGGATGCTAGTTGCAGATTTTATATCCTCTTGCAGGACTTGCCAATTCTCTTTTCCCATCCAGTGGAGCATTTATTTGCTGAGGCTTTCCACTGCCACTTACAGTTCTAGAAAGGTGACTTTATTTGTTGGCAGCATCTACAGATCAATACCTGCAACATGCAATTCTTGTGTAGCTCTTCCCTATCTTGTCTCCTTTAGATGCTCTTGGAATCACAGCTTCATTCCCAAAGTATGCAATTAGCACAGTACAGAAAGGAAAAGGGATGAGAACCAAAGTCAGCAAACAGCAGACAGGGCAGGCAGTGGTGGGACAGGGTGAGCATAGGAAGAGATGTCATGGGGGCTCACGGGTGGCTGTCAGGGGCAGGCAGTGACCACACTTGTCTTCCAGAGGAGCAGCTGAACTGCCACACTTCTACCATCAAAGAAATAAATGAGGCTGAGGCAGTCAGCCCCCACATGTTGTTGACAGCACAGATCTTTGTCCAGAAAGCAATGGTAAAACAATGGTGAGCACCCGGGTCAATCTGTTTCCTTAAGCCCAGTGGTTATGCAAACACATCCTTCCCAACCGTCCATCTCACCCCAAGGTGACAGACAGCAATTGCTAAAAACATATTTCCCAATGAACTACCAGCTGGTGCATCGAAATCCCAGCCAGGCTCTCACCTCAGCAAAACTGCTGCTGAAGCTGCTGATGCATTTACCTGTGCAAGGCCAGCAGGGCTTAGCCTATGGGGACAAAATCACTGTTGGGCTTGCAGGGTGCTGGTCTGGAGGAGGAAACATGCCATAGATAAGCAGGACAGACACTCCCAACCCTACTGTGTGCAAGAATAGAGCCCATGTAGGGGATTCACCCTTTTCTCCGCCACGTTCCATTCTCCAACCTCCTCCAAGAAGTCCAGTGGGACCTCAACCTCATAGCTACCCATCAGCGGCTCCCCCAACTTAGCCACTGTCCCACCTCATCATGCATCTGGCTGCCTGCAACATGCAGTCAGAAAAGGAAGTTACTTCTCTCAAAAGGAAAGTCGCCATCATCAGCAAACTCTTCTTGAACTCTGATATTCTGCCCAAATTTTGGGTAAGATCCTGGGACCCACCCAGGAAAGCTGGAGGCTGCTGTCTGCTCATTGCTCAAGACCATTGCATCGCAGCTGTGAGCAACTGTGGGGAAAGGGGAACCAGACAGAGGTTTGGATCTGCTCCAATAAAGTATGCTGTGAATCTTCAGAGCATGCTGTGGAGCTTGGGACCTTCACTTGAGCGCCACAAGATGGGAAGTGATCCATCACCAGACCCACGCTAGCACTTGACCCAGGTAGACTGACAACAAGTGTGTAGACAAAGAGATGGTGAAATCCCCTACCTGCTAGAAAACTGCCAGAGCTGAAGCAGCAGGATGGGATGCATGCTGCATGCCACCAATTCAGTCCTCTCACTCTCTAGAGGTAAAGGTCATTATCATCCCCTCCCCACTGCACCCACCTCTTCCCCTTGCAGTAGCCATGGCTGTATCTTTCCCTTTGGAAAGCACAGCACAGTGCTTTCCACAGAAATCCAATGGGGATCCTGCCCTTGTATCTGGGACAGTCAGCTATGATGTAACTAGTCTCTCTTCTTAGAGACTGCTGAAATGCAAAGTGGGGTCAGGGAGAGAAACATGCTTCTCGGGTCCATCAGAGGTGCCACAAACTACTTCTGCCAAGCAAACATCTCTGAAGAAGAGAGAGATTTTATCTGAGTTTATAGAATCATAGAATCATAGAACAGTTAGGGTTGGAAAGGACCTTAAGATCATCTAGTTCCAAACCCCCTG